TGGTATACATTAGCAAACATACCTACTCTTCATTCCTGTCCAAAGGCTTGGAATAATTCGCTTCAACTTTGGGCCTCAGAGGAAGTCTTGAGACATGCATTTCCCTCTCCTTTCCCTCAGCCTCATCGAGCAGCACTGGCTAAGCCAGGGCATTCCCGCTTCATGTCCTTCCATCCCTCTAAGTCAGGCCACCCCTTGTCCTGACTTCTCTCCTGTTGGCTAGGGTCATGGAGCACAGTCTGGTGACCAAGGCTTGCTCAATCCCTGTCCTTATAACGTCTTCTGGGACAAAAGTTGCAAATGGTCTCAGAAAACACATGGGCTTGAGCAATCACTGCTATGTTCAGAAATGCCCCTGGTCATTGTTCATGGGGTCAAAAGAATCCAAAGGCGACAAGAATCACCAGATTATTTTCTAAGAGTTGTTATGTGCTCAGACCCATTCTTAGCAGCATGACGGGACAGACCATGGCAGAAGAGCTTCCGGGCAAAGGAAAAATAACAAGTGCTGCTGGGGGCGGGGAAGAGTCTCTGGATGGAGCTAATGCTTAAGCGCTTGAATACAAGCTGATAGGTCAGTCGTTCGAACCAACCCCGAGTTACATCAGAAGACCAGGCCAGTAGTCTGCTTCTCAGAAGACCACAGCCATTGGAAAGCTGGTGGAGCACCATTCTATTCTGGCACACACCACACGGGGTCGCTGTGAATCAGAATTGTCTCATCAGCAACTATCCACAGTGTACCCTATAGCGGAGGACATGGGAAGTCCACCGAGGTGACGTAAGAAGAGTCTACACCTCGGCTCTGAGTTGGAGACGCTGAGTGGTTGCATCCATCCCCTTGTCTAAATGCCAAAGAGCGAGTTCTCTTCTCTTACTGAGTTTATCGAGTGGCATTGCACTTCCTGGAAGGTTTAACAAAAGACTCCATTTCAAGCCACAAGGACCAATCAAAAGGTTTTTCTCCATCTTATCCGTAGACCCGCCCCTTATCAACTCTGGTCAGCAGCAGCCAGTCCTGCCAGTACACCCTGGATGCCAAGAAGAAACATGTGTCTGAAGCCATCTGCAAGGAGCAGCACCTGTTCCTGCCTTTCTCCTACAAGTAAGTCACATGCCGCACCCTTGCCTCCTCATGTGGGGGAGGTCAAGGTGAACTGAACACTTCTGAGCACCCTTTCTGAGCTAATGAGGGGGCTACAGGGAGGTAGAAGGTATATCCTATCTCTAGGCCCCTTGCCAGACCCACAGGTAATTTTCCAGAAAAGTCTGAGACTTTGATAAATGCAAAAAGCAGCAAAAGATACCACAGACCTCATTGTTAAGGCTGTAGATAAGCTAAAAATGGGGTATCGTTATAAGATGCCCTGGTTAGAAGAGGCTTTATGAATCCTGTGAGATTGAGACTGGAAATAGGTGTGTACAATTCGTTTTTAAAAACGGATCCACTTGTATGGATGGGGTAACTGCTATTTTCTGGGCACTGTGCTGTGGGAAACACAAAAGAACTCCCTATCCTCTGGGCACGCGGGCCAGTGGAGAGTAAAAGGTACACAGCCAGCCAATAGTCAGGTGTCTAGTGTGACCAAGAGAGGCGAGGACTATTCACTAAAGGAGTGTGAGGCAGCTGGATTTAGCCAGGCTTTCAAATGTGTGCAGGATTTATGTAGAAACAAAAGGAGAGACATTCACCATGAAAAGGAGAGGGGATGGGAGATGCTGGAGGGGGGAGGAGAGTCATTCCAATGGCATATGGTCCACTTTCTTTGTTACTAGGAATAAGTATGGAATGATGGCACGTGTCACGCAGTCTTTGAAACTTGAAGACACGCCTAAGATCAACACTCGCTTCTTTGACGAAGGTAGGCCTTTGTGGTCACAAGATTGCCAGGCTTGGGAGATATGCCTGGAAGAGCCATTGTGGCTTAGCTCTTGGGTGGGCCTTGATACCTGCGTGGAGTGGACTTGGATGTTCTGCCTGCTATTCATTTCAAAAGGTGAAGTGGCAAGAGAATTAAAAAAAAAAAAGGTGAGGAGATACATAGATTCTTACATTCCCAAGGTTGTCATAAGTGGAACATCAGACTAGGAACTGGCCTCCTAAACCTAATGTCATCTTTTGGTGACTCGACAACATCATACACCTATAATACAGGCCCCATGCAGCAGCCCGGAGCCTGGATATGGTGGGACAAATGGAGAAGAGCCTTTAAAGTCAGGCTAGATAATAAACCCAGGACGCCATGTTCAGAGAGTCTTTGGAGACCTTGACAAAACCCTAACCCACTGCATTTGTATTATATCTAAGCCTGTCAAACATCTTTTGTATGTCTTATCCCATTGTATAACATAACAACCTATGATGTCAGGTATAGGAACATGCTTTTATAACCATTCAACAGAAATAAAATGACCCATAGATTAGGGTAATGATTTATTCAAGGTCATAGAATACTACAGGAGATGCTGTGCTGAATTAGTCCCAAGGCCAGGCTGGGTCGACTAGAGAAATCCAATGATGTGCGCGTGCGCACGCGCGCGCGCGCGTTTGTGTGTGTGTGTGTGTGTGTGTGTGTGTGTGTGTGTGTGTGTGTGAAAGAAAGAGCTTTATAGCAAGAAGTAATTGTATATTAAGCCAACATCCCAACCCCATCCAAATCAAATCCATAAGTTCAAAACTAGTCCATAAGTCCCTCTTCAGACTCACATAGCCACATGCAGTGATGCAGAAGGCAGGGTGATCACAGGCCGGTGGGTAGAGAGTCGTGTGGAGCCAATGTCAGTGTACGCATCACAGGCCTTCCTGTCCACCAATAGGAAGGTGAAGGCTGAGAGAAAAGGGGAGGTTCCCAGGCCTTTTGTGTTAGGCAAGGTTCTCTAGAGAAATGAAACCAGAACACTTTTAATTTTATATATATATATATAGGTTTATATCGTGAGAAGGAATATAACAGGTATATATATATATATAGGTTTATATCGTGAGAAGGAATATAACAGGTAATTAGTCCACACAACAGTACAGAGAGTTCAGCTCAACCCACTTCCATGGACCAATAAATATACTGGGAGTCATTCAACTCACGTGGGCTGCTGGGTCCAAGGTCAAGGAAGCAGACAGCAGAGTCCTCCCTGGGGCAAGGCAAGCAGCTTCATCCCACAGGAAGCAAACAACAGGGTTGGTCACCAACAGTCAGGAGCTCAGGATCTTAGCAAAGCAGGCCCAGATGGGATATCAAATGTAAGCAATGGAAGGCAACAGAATCCACCAGCCTCAAGCTCAAGCGATATACACACCAGCAGTGTGGCGAAGCAGGTCTAGAAGGAGCCTCAAGCTCTGGCGACATGATCCACGGCTTGGCCTGGCCCACAGGTAGTGTAGCTCATAGGTTGAAGCAGAGAACTAGCTACAGCAGCAGCACGCGCCCTCCAGCATGCTCTGGTCACAAGAGAGCAAGACAGAGAGGGGCCGGGCCTTGCAGAGCCATTTATCTCTGTGCCCGCCAATCAAACTGCAACCTGATGAATGCCACATGTTCCTATTGGCCAGGTTGGCACAATAAACCTACCTATTATACCCTCCTTGGCATGACTAGGCCACATGCACAAGGAGGCACTATCAGGCTGTGACCTTATTGACAACTCCTACACTTTTATATCTGTTCAAGTTGCCATGAAATTATGCAACTACCACACCAAGTATTTTCCATGATACCACACCCCCGTGCTTTTACCCTCATCTCAGAACACAGTGGTGGAAATGTCTCGGAACGTGTCTGAGAACAGAGTGGTGGAAAGGACACTGAATCATCACAACCAGCCAGCAGATTCGATTTGAGGGAAGTGGTGGGCTAAGTTCAATGAGTCTCACCCTTCACTGTCGCCGTGTCAACAGTATCCCCTCCTTACAAATTCTTTCCAGCAAAGAAGCATCTGATCGGAGACAAACTTCACTCTGCCCCATAGACCCAAAGTGTTCTTGGGCAAATTAAATTAGTTCCCTTATTTTTAAAGTTGACCTAGATGTTTGTTAGTCACTGCAGGAGTGTTGGAATGATTCAGGGAGGGGGCAGGGGAAACAAGCAAACTTAGCCACCTGGTAGAGAGCTCGTGATGGGCAATGAGAACAGGATCGTGTTCACTCTCTCTCTGGATGATCCCACTCCAGTGTCCTGAGGCCAGTGAACACAGGTGTATAATGGTTGAGATCCAGAGCTAAGCAAGAACTCCTGTGACACGTTTCTTTCTTCCAGGTGTGGAGGCAGTGGGCCTCGCCTTGGAGAGCACCAAGTCCACATCCCCTCCAAAGCAGACAGAGGCCATTGTGAAGACCCTTCAGGAACTGCAACACCTGTCGGTTTCTGAGCAGAATGCCCAGAGAGCTAAACTCTTCCACAAGCTGGTTACTGAACTGCGAGGGCTCAGGAATGAGGCAGTGGCATCGCTCTTGCCAAAGCTCATCGAGGTGTCCAGGTATTTTTTTTTAACACTGCAGTTCAATAGCTCCTATAACCTGTGATGACTGACTGATCTAACAAGCCCTTGCCACATAGAGAATCTTCATTCTTGGGCATCATTGAAATATCAACTTAATCAATCAGTTCATATTTGCTGAATAGAGATGGGATATCAAATGTAAGCAATGGTATCCGTTAAGGTGTCATCCAAGACAGACGGGTATCGTTGTGTTAAAATAGAGAGCGAAGGAGAAATGAAAATGCTAGTGGCTAAGAAAATTGGAACCACACTTTCCACATTTTGGTGGACATCTTCAAATGTTAGTTCTCTAAGAAGATTTGAGAGAAAAAGAAATCTTTGCCCTCCGGACCCTCATATGTTCTATGGAGAGTCCTCAGGGAAATTCATAATAATATGATTTGTGTTCACTTCCAGACACTTTAAGGGTCTAAGGAACAGAGTAAGGGCAGGCTTGCAGGACTCTGAGTAAGATTTTGAAAGCCGATCGACTTGGATGGAAATAAAGGAAATAAGTGTCCCCCTGACAGCGGGGGATGCCAAGGACAGAGGAGAGTGTGTTTGCCTTGAAGGTGGTGGCCCTTGTAATGTTCGGTTCTTTTCTCAGCCCGGTCACTTTACAAGCCTTGGTGCAGTGTGGGCAGCCCCAGTGTTACACTCACATCCTCCAATGGCTGAGAACTGAGAAAGCCAACCCCCTTCTGATAGACGTCGTCACCTACCTGATGGCCCTGATCCCAGAGCCCTCCGCGGAGAGGGTACGGGAGATCTTCATCACGGCGAAGGAGCAGCAGAGTCGCGCCACCCTCTATGCCTTGAGCCACGTGGTCAACAAGTGAGTGGGTTTACATCTTACTTCTGTCAGGGGCTGAGGAGGGCCCCCCATCTCTGTATTAAAAGTGTACCCCTCCCTCCACTGTCAAACTCCTGTGCTTACTGTTCTGTTTTTCTGCGGATCAGTTTGAGGGGGATGACTTGAAATAAGAAATCAGCACACCCAAGTTTGAATTGTAAGAGATCTCACCTTGTTGAAACCTAACTCTTTCCCCTTTTCCTGTAGCTATTATAAGATAACCCAGCAGGCGACCCAGATCCTGTTGGACATTATGAATTACCTGTTGACACAGATTCAAGAAAACTGCACTGGGGACACAGATCACGTCTACCTGATCCTGAAGGTGCTTTCAGTATTTTTGAATAATATGTTTCATCCCAGAAATGCTTTCCCTGAACATCCTTCCCTCCTCCCTCACCCTGGTACTAGCTCATCTCTCTCTGCTTCCATTCAGGTCATTGGAAATATGGGCAAAACCATAGACCAAGTGAGCCCAAGCCTGAAGTCTGCAGTCCTGAAATGCGTCCGAAGCACAGAGCCATCGCTGCTGATTCAGAGAGCTGCTATCCAGTCCCTGAGGAAAATGGCCACGAATGACGAGGTAACGTCCACAGGAGGTCTGAAAGTCAGACGGGTTCAGAAAGTTGATTCAGATGAACAAGGATTTGGAAACCATCAGCGAACAAGGATTTCTGTGTATCATTAAACGAACTTTATTCTAAAAGAACTCATTAGCAGAAAATGGATTCTCACCCATCCCTTCATGCTACTGTTTACTCTTGCAAAATCCAACAAGTCTATTGACTTAATTGCTTGTATGAGAAAAATATTTGGCCTTGCTGCTACTGCTAGTCAACCAGGCAGAAGGCAGAGGTTTAGATGCACGCTGTTCTCTTACCACATTGATCATCACTCTTGGGAAAGCAAGATGATTTTGGCAGGCCATATCAGACTGTCCTCAGTGTCCCCAAACTAGAGCACTCAACTTGGTCCTACCTTAAGGAGCAATGACTCTTTAGAAACAATGTTATTTATTTGCCCAAACTCTCACTCACCCTACAAAACTTTACATTCAAACTGAAATCATGTATGCTAAAGCAAAATTATTTTCATTTCGTGGTCTGTCCCCTAACTAGTCATAACTTGGGCATGACTTATACACTTTAATATGATTTCATTCCACTTGTATTTGGTAGGCATCTTTAAGGAACAGTCTCTTAGTTTGATTGCTCTGGGGAATTCTGGAGAGGCCATTTGAAATCTTCATTATGAAATTGGAAGGCATATTAGGGAGCACTCCAACTGAGGAATAAGAAAAAGATCAGTGGACCGTGCCAATGTTTGCCCAGCAGGTTTGGTGCTCTGACCAAAGGGCAGTACTGATAGTCTTCTTCTGACTTCAGGTCCAAAGGGCCCTTCTTCAGGCTTTCCTCAGTGGTGTTGCTCCAGTGGATAAGCGTCTGGCTGCCTATCTCATGCTGATGAAGGGGCCTTCCCAGTCAGACATTAGCAGAATCGCCCGACTTCTCCCGCGAGAACAGAATGAACATGTAAAGAATTTTGTGGCTACCCACATTGCCAACATCTTGAACTCAGAAGATCTTTCTATCCAACAGTAAGTAAGACGAAGTTCCCTCATTTGTCACAAAGAGCCCTAGATTGGAATTCCAGAGCTCCATTCTGGAACCGACACGATATGATTTCTCTGGAATGTCCTTTTGTCTTGTGTAAATGTGTGGGATACTCTGAGCCAAAATCTGGAGGGGAAACTGAACTTCAATTCTTTGATGATAAGTGGAAATTCATTGTGACTTGAAATAAAAGAGACAATAAGTCGATGGCATACTGTGTTGGCTCAAAATATGCTACTTCTTTTTCTCTAGCCTGAAAATGCTGGTAGAAGAAGCGCTTAAAGGGTCTCAACTTCCAACAATTGCGGATTTCAGAAAATATTCCAGGAACTACCAGTTGTCCAAGTCTGTTTCCCTTCCATCCCTGGGTCCAGTCTCAACCAAAATCGAAGGAAATCTTATATTTGATCCAAATAGTTATCTTCCTAAAGAAAGCATGCTGAAAACCACCCTCACTGTGTTTGGATTTTCTGCACTTGACCTCTTCGAGGTATGTGTGACACAGAATCCTGAAGCCTGTTTTTCACAAGATCATAAATAGGAAGTCAGGGGAAGTATGAGCCAGCTTGGAGAGGAAAAGGAATGACTAAGCAGTTTGTACCATCTCTCTGGGGTCTTCTTCCCTCTACCTCGCTTACCTTCCTCTCTCCTCACTAGCGGTCATTTGAAGCATGGCTCCTTAAGATAGCTGCAAATGAAGCTGTCTTCATTGAATCCCATAAACTTAAAACTCAAGAGAGTCTGTGGGTAATGGAATCAGACCCCTTCCCAACACTGTGCATCCTTAGTTTCATTATTCTAAACCTTAGTTACTCTTTTGTTAAAAGATAAATAAGTTCTGCCTTTCAACATTTAAAAGACAAGTTCTATGAAGAAGTGCTAAGCTCAGTTCCTGCCCTATGGTATTCATAAGTACTTGCTTAATTTAATGGACATATAGAGAAATGGGAGACTGGCATAAAACAGAGAAACCTGAAAACATTTCCTTGTCTGATTTTCTGCTCTGTTCTCAGATTGGTGTGGAAGGAAAGGGCTTTGAGCCAACCCTGGAAGCTCTCTTCGGGAAACAAGGATTTTTCCCAGACAGTGTCAACAAGGCTTTGTACTGGGTTGATGGCCACGTTCCTGATCAGGTTTCCAAGGTCTTGGTGGACCACTTTGGCTACACCAGAAATAACAGGCATGAGCAGGTATGGATTTGTTAATTATCTTCTCAAGGAAAGTCTTGGATCCCAACAAAAAGATCTTATCTAGCTGGAGGTCATCAGAGTCCATTCCAACTCATAGCAACCCTACAGGACAGGGTAGAACTGCCCGTGTGGATTTCCAAGGCTGTAAACTCTGTACGGGACTAAAAAGCCTCCTCTTTCTCCTGTGCAGAGTCTGGTGGTTTCGAGCTACTGACCTTGCCATTAGCAGCCCAACATAAAACTATTAGAGCTGTTAGGGCTCCTCTCCCTGGATAGCAGAAGTCATTTGTGCTCAACAACTAACCTAAAGGTTGGTGGTTCGGACCGAGTCAGTGGCCCAGTAGAAGAAAGGTCCGATGATCAGCTTTGGTGAAGCTTATAGCACAAACGCCCTGTGGAGCAGTTCGGTGGGGTCATGATGAGTTGGAATTGCCTCAAGAAAGAGCAGCAGGTGTAGGTGTTTGGGTTGATGGGGGTGAGGGTCACCACCACTGCAGCTATGGGCATGCTGATTTAATATGTCCTGGAACCAGACTTAGAAGTGTTCCAGGAAATGATTAAAGGTGTGACATTGGAGACATGGGTTTGAATTTAATCTCAGTGACGTTAAGCTATACAAACATGGACGAGTTACTTCATATTTGGTATGTATCATTTTTAACTGCGTTTCATTGCGTATACAAAGGTATTCAACTGTGTGGATAATGATAAATTATGGATCACCTAGTGAATGATGGTGATTCCAGAACACTTAAGTGTTGTCATGTGAAATCATACCTAGACCAAAAGGAAGACATGGGAACTGAACAAGAGAATTTGTACGGTTTGAAATCAGAAAGGTGTGCCTCAGGGTTACATCCCTCCACCAGGTTTAGTCAATGTGTCTGCTGAGAATCCAAACTACACGACGAAGAATACAGTGCCAGGGTTGGAGGGAGAGTCATTAACAACCGGGGATATGCAGATAACACACTCGTGTTGCCGAAAGTGTGGGGAGACCTCAAGCATTTACTAATGAAGATCAAGGGCTATAATCCTCAGTGTGGCTTGTACTTCAGCATCAATAACATAAAAATCTTCATGACTGGATCAATAAGCAGCATCCCAATAAATATAGAAAAACATTGATGACAAGAATTTCATTTTACTTGGATCTACAATCAGTGCCTGTGGAAGTAGCCGTGAAGAAATCAACCGATGTATCACATTGGATAAATTGACAGCAAATGACCTTTTGAAAGAGTTACCAAAGATTTCACCTTCAGGACTAAAGGGCTTCTGACCCAAGTCATGATATTTGCAGTTATCTCATATGCATGAAAAACCTGGTCAATGAAAAAAGAAGCCTGAAGCATTGATACGCTTGACTTAACGATGTTAGAGACAAATATGGATTATACTATGTATTTCCAGAAGAATGAACCAATCTGTCTTGGAATAAGTATATCAAGAATTCACCTTAGAAGAGAGGATAAGGAGACATCACTGACTTTGGATTTATTATCAGAAGGATAACTTTGTAGTTATTATCAGACAAAGTCACTGATTTGGATTTATTATCAGACAAGTCACTGAGGACAGCGTGTTTGGTAAAGCCAGACAGACTGACACCGTGGCTGAAACCGTGGGCACAGTCAGAGCAATGATGGTGAGACTAGCACCGGAATAGGCAGTGTTTTGCTCTCTTGTACCTGCGATCGTTTTGAATTGGAGCCAGCTCAATGACACCGAAAAATACCATCTGGGCTGTATTCCCACATTGCATGTTTGCCTTCAGATCTGTTACAGTTGCAAGAGACGGGTCCAAGCCACCTTAGGAAGCTTAAGTTTTTGATTCTGCCAATAGCTCACTAAATCTTTTATTTTCAAATTCCTAGGATATGGTCAATGGAATCATGTTCAACATCGAGAAGTTGATCAAAGATTTGAAGTCCAAAGACATCCCGGAAGCCAGTGCTTACCTTCGCTTCTTGGGAGAGGAGCTTGGCTTTGTCAGGCTCAGTGACCTACAGCACCTGGGGCGACTGCTGCTCAGTGGTGTCCAAAATCTGCAGGGGATCCCCCAGCTAGTAAGTAGACCAGACCACCAGAGGGCAATGACCTTAACCAGTGTTCTCTTTAGGTTTCCCAGACACCCTTAAAATCCCAGCAACACCAACCAGCAAAAATCCTGTATTTCTGCCCAAGAGGCAGTTTTGCTCAGAATTTCAATGAAAATAATTCTTATCCCAGTGAATTGAAAGAAATGAAGCTATTTATAATGAGATGCATCTCTTAAGAGCATGAGATTACTTGAAAAACAATATTAAGTACACCTTCCCCTATAAGCTTCTGTTTAATATTGCAGTGATACATTAGGAAACAGAGTATATGGTAAACTCTTATCCATCATCCGATATTAGCTATAACATTATGGTTATTAATTTTTCAATAAGGAAGAAAATATTTTCTTTAGTTCCTTTGATCTATTAAGTAACAATACTCCTTTTGAGGAAATGGACCTCAGATTATGCATGAAAATAAATCTAAAGCTATGGAAATGTTATGAAAAATGAGAGTGGATGCATACAAACATGTATGCCATCTCAATAGCACCTTAGTTTCAAAATATCTATTTCTCCAGAATATACTTCAAGTAAGTTCTCACTTACATTCAGACTTCAAACAACCAACATAAGTAAACATAGATGACAAAGGAGCCCTGAGATGTAATGGGTTATGCATTGGGCTGCTAACCACAAGGTCAGCAGTTCAAAACTACCAGTTGTTCTGTGGGAGAATGATGAAGCTTTCTACTCCTTAGAGAATTGCAAAATCAGAAACGTACAGGGCCAGTTCAACTCTGTTCTAGAGAGTCTCTATAAGTTGTACTCAGCCTGGTGGCAATGAGCTTTTCTAACATGGGTGACACCGCTGGTTAAACTCTGAGATCCAATATTCCTAAGTGCCTCTGAATCTCCGATTCAAAATGGCATGATGCATCAGGACGGTTTCTCAGATTCCAGTACATTGACCTCAGTAATCATGAATAGTTGCTCATTCAACTCTTCACTGAATCAAAATGTGCTAGTCCTTCCACCCTGGATCAGGAGGAATTGTTCAATATATGGGAGTTTACATTTAGCAAAATCCATTTCAAGGAGTCTTACTTTGAATCTTTCTCTCCTGTTGAATCTATAGATCAAAGAGGCCATAAGGAAAGGTTCAATGAACGATTTGTTTCTTCACTACATCTTCATGGACAATGCCTTTGAGCTCCCCACCGGTGCTGGACTGCAACTACAAGTGTCCTCATCTGGAATCATCGCTCCTGGGACCAAGGCTGGAGTGAAAGTGGAAGTAGCCAATGTAAGACATTGCCCCCTGGTTTGTTTCATCTACTGCTCTTTTCCACCCCAAGATGGATTTCTAGTGCAATATTAAAGACTTCAAGTCAAAGTGCACCATGATTATAATCACGTTGTTACTAAAGCTGTTAAGGTTCCCCTAAGATGCTCTGCCCGATTGGCTCCAATGTGATCGGGCAGTAAGACAAAAACTCAGCTTCTTTCCGAATAAATTAGAACTTGTTGCATCCATTAATTCTGTTATGCTTGACATTCACGTGGGCGCATCCTGGTGCTGGGTATCAATGTCCCCAGGCCCTGAGCAATTGAGTACGGGGGCTTTTTTCCTTCAACAAGTCACAGTCATGCTTGCTGAAGTGTGTAAGTCATCCAGCAATCCAGAAAGGGGGGTTGATCCGACCGTCTGGGGATTGGGGTGTTTAACAAAGCTGAAAACATTGTTTTCTGACTTACAGATGCAGGCTGATCTGGTAGCCAAGCCTTCTGTCTCGGTGGAGTTTGTGACGAATATGGGCATCATCATTCCTGACTTTGCTAAGAGTGGGGTCCAAATGAACACCAACTTCTTCCATGAGTCAGGCCTGGAGGCTCGCGTTGCCCTGAAAGCTGGGCAATTGAAGTTCATTGTTCCCACGCCCAAGAGGCCAGTCAAGCTCTTCAGCGGCAGGTAATTCTTTCTGCCTGGTCCATCTCCTTAGCCAATATGAGAGAGAAAGTTAAGGCTGCAGCTACAGGATATGGCCAAGCTAGATCGCTTTTGAGATAATTCGGGCCACAGTGGATTTAGGAGTTTCTGTATGAGTGTTTTTCTAACGATTTTGTTATTGTGAATTAGGTGGGGGTGGGTGGGGGTTTATATTTCATACCCTCAATCTGCATTCAACGGTTCACAACTTTTATCAACTGCCTCCATAGCCTGTATTCAACCCCATTCCCGTCCCCTGATTTCTCTTCTCCCTCTTGTGGATCTCCAGGCTCCCTCGCACCCAAGTCAACATCTGCCAAACCTCTTTTCCAATGCCACTCCTCTCCTTTGTCCCTCCCCTTCATGGTAACTCTAGAGTCTGGTCCCTTTCATATGCACGTCTGTGTCTTGGTCTTTATCCTTATAATAGTGGTCTCATACAATTTTTGTCCTTTTGTGATTAACTTCACGCCACATACAGGCCCATCTATGTCATGAGGTACTTCATAGTTTTATCATTGCTTTCTAGCGATGCATAGTATTCCACTGTGTGCATAGACCAAAGTTTCTTTTTTTTTTTTTTTCAGACCAAAGTTTCTTCATCCACCCTTTTATTGATGAACATTTGGGCTGTGTCCAATGTCTTGCTATTGTGACCTGTCATGCATTGACTATGAGTGTGCATATGTCTGTTCATACTATGGCTTTTATTTCTTTAGGAAATACACCCAGCAGAGGTATTGCTGGATTGTGTAGAATTTCTATCTCCAGTGTGAGGTCGTACCATATCTCTTTCTATAATGGTTGTACATATTTACAGGTCTTCCACTAGTGTAGGAGGGTTCCGATCTCTCGACAGCCTCTCCAGCATTTGTGGCTTTCGATTTGGTTTTTGTTTTCTTAATTGGGTCCTCATTGTTTGTATGAGATGCTATCACATTATAGCTTTGATCTGCATGCCCGGAATGGCCAATGATAGGAGGCATTTTTTTCATATGTTTGTCAGTCATTTGGATGTCATTTTTTGTGAACTGTCTATTCATTCCCTTTGCTCATTTTTTAATTAGGGTATTCATTTTTTTTCATATAGAGGTATTGGTGCTATCTATAGATTTTAGAGATTAGTCCATTGTCTTTTGTCTTGCTGCCAAAGAGGTTTTTCTCAGTCCATGGGTTTTCTTCTGACTCTTTCAATAAAGTCTTTTAAAGCACATAAGTATCTTATTTTTAGTTCATCAACTATTTTCTCTTCCTTTGTTATGTATGATAGTACGTCCTTGCTCTGTAATAGGGCCCTTAAGTTGTCCCTGTTTTCTCATTGATGATCTTCATAGCCCTGGGATTTACACAGTTAGGTCTTTGCCCCACTTTGAGTTTGTTTTTATACATAGAGTGAGGTCTAGGTCCTGTTTAATCTTCTGCAGATGAACATGCAATTTTCCCAACACCTATTTATTGAAAGACGATCTCTTTTCCATTTAGGTATATGAAATTACTTCTCGATTTTCTTTTATATTCCATTGGTCTGTGTGCCTATCATTGTAAAAATATTAAGCTGTTTTGACTACTATGGCTGCATAATAAGTTTTAAGGTTGGGTAATGGGAAGCTTCCTGTTTTATTCTTCTTCTTGCTCATTCTAGGTCTTTGCCTCCTCATATTAAGTTAACCATTAATTTTTCCATTTCTTTAATGAACAAAGTTGGGATCTGGATCTGGTTCAGAACTGGATTGTTTTGATAGATTTCTTTGGGGATTACTAGGAGCCCTGGTGGAGTAGTGGATTATGCGTTGCCTGCTAAGTGCAAGGTCAGCAGTTTGAAACCACCAACTGCTCCTAGGGAGAAAGACAGGCCTTCTACTCCTGTCAAGATTTAGTTTTGGAAGCTCACAGGGGCAATACTACCATGTCATACAGGTACACTATGAGTCAGCGTTTACTCAGTGGAATTGAGTCTGATTTTTGTTTTGGTTTTTCTCAATATTTTTCATTTTAGTTTTATAGGTCTCTTTTGGTTTCTTCTAGCAATGGTCTATAGTTTCTCTGTACAAGCCTTTTGTTTCTTTAATTTGGCTTGTTCCTAAATTTTTCATCTTTGATGTGGTATCAATTCATTTTTCAGATTTCTCTTTTCTAGTATACAGGAATCCTATTGAATGTGTGTGTGTGTTACTCCTGTATCCTGCCATGCTGACACATCTTTCTATTGTTTCTGACCATCTTTCTGTTCAGTTTGGGATTTTTTTTTTAATCAGATAATCTGCAAATAATGAAAGTTTCACTTCTTTGTCCACTTGGATTCCTTTGACTCTTTTTCCCCCTTGGCTAATGGCTCTGCCTATGACTTCCAGCCCAACCTTGGCATTTGGTTGAGAATTCTTGCATCTATGTTCAGAAAGGACTGGTCATATTGGCTGGTAGTTTTCTGTCTTTGTGATGTCCTTGCCTGTTGGTTTGGATATGGATAATCTATTTTTAACCCAGCCTAGACTAACTAACTGATTGTTCTACTTTCCATGTTCACTGATGACCTTGCCCCTCTCCTCCCTGAGACTTAACCAATGCCTGCCTGTTGGTTGTTGATTGAGGAGCCTTGGTAGTGTAGTGGTTACATGTTGCGTTTCTCACTGCTACTTCAGCAGTTCAAAACCACTTGCCACACCTCAGGAGAAAGGCAGGGCTTTCTACTCCCATAAAGAGTTACACTCTTGGTTTTGGTTTAGTTGTTAGGTTGTTTTTGCTTGGCCTTGTTTTAAGAATGAAGAAACAGTAAATCTACAGAAATTATTCCTGGGCAATGAACATTTTTCCAGGCAAAATAGCAACGGACATACCCATAAGTGTTCATTAGTGAGCATGGGGGATGTGGTTAAATGCTCTGATGCAACCGAAAAGTTGGTGTTCTGAATGCACCCAGTGATTCCGCCAGGAGAAGACTGGGCACTCTGCTCCCAGAAAGAGTTGATATTGGGCAAAATCCAGTCCGTTATGACTCAGAGGGACCCTGTGCACACAGACTGAAATATCGCCTTTCCTCTGCCATCCTCACTGTGTTTGCACCCGCTGAGCCCAGAAAGATCACAACTTAGAAAACCCTGGGAGTGATTCTACTCTGTCACATGGGATCACTGAGTCAATCAACATTAGCTTAGTGGGTAAAGCACGTCATCTATGGTTGTAAAAAATGCAGCTTTGGAGCGAAAGCTCCACATTTCTTTATTCATTCAAAAATAGTGTTTGATTGCCTTCTATGGACCAGGCATGTTATATGAGCTACACAAGGTCCTCAAACTTCCAGAGCTCACAGTTTACAAGGAAAGCATACAAGTAAGCAGGCCATAACAAAGAAGTAAATAAGGACTAAATTAGAGGACATATGAGGGTAGCATGCAATTACCTGTCACAGTGTGTGGCACTTAGGGAAAGCTCTGCAAAAAAAGTAATTAAACTGATACCTAGAATATAGAGAAGTCATGCCAGAGTCCTCCAGTCAAATATGGAAAGAGTGCTCAGGGGAAAGAGCAGAGAATGTCTAATGACCTGGGGGAAAAAGAGCACGACTCAAGGAACTGAAAGATGTTCAAGATGCAAAAAGGTCAATTACTGAACGATTAGACTGTGGAGATGTTGTAGAGGTCAGGCCGTGATGAGACGTATAAACCATCCTGGGAAATGTGGGTTTCTTCTGAAGACAACGAATTTTGAAAGGAAAGATAAAATTGGTGCGTTAGAAGAACTACCTTCCTGACTCCAGTGTGGGAAATGGATGAAATAGATGTACTACTGGAGACCAGGTAGGTGTCTGTTGCAATGACAGGGGTGAGCAACAGAATGGGCTTTACCAGAGGCAGGCCAGAGTCTGGAGAGGAGTGAGCACATGCCAGAAATTGTCCATAGATGGAACTATGCACACTCGGAGATTGACTGGATATGGGAGGTGTGAAGGAAGGGAAGAGAAAAGATAGGCGCAGGTGCCCTTTATTGATATAAGGACTAGAGAAAGAGAGATAAAAGTCCATTTACAGAGACAGTGACAAGTTTAGTTTGGGATATCCAATCTGCAATTGAAATCCTAAACCAATTAGAAACAGTGAGCTGGGAATTGGATCCATGAGGCAAATACCTCGATATGTTGGTGATTCGCAAATCTATATTTGAAGCTCAGTCAAGAGGCTTGATCTCCAAATATAGATTTGTGGGTCACCAACATAGAGAGGAGTTCTGGCTGTGTAGTGGTTAGGTGTTGAGTTGTGATCTCCATGGTTAG